TCCAACATGCAGGGCTCCTCCATCGTGGCCATACTCTATAACACTCTTTAGGTCTTCAAATCCATTCCAAACGATTTGAACAACAGATCCTTCACTGGATGCTTGACCACTATTAGAATTTGAAGGGTTTTTGTCTTGTGTACTAGTCAAATGATTTTGCTTTTCAAGTGGCAGATTTTGTTTTGCTTCTTGATGGCGCTGTCTTGGGGAAAGCAGCTCATTAATTCTTCCATAAGATACTACAGGATTTGGATCCAAATCAATATATTCTAAACTCCATGGAAAAACGTGAACAGCATTGTGTTTCAGAAATTCATGAGTGGTGGATACATTCTGTACACTGGGAGGCTGGGATTGACATACTCTAAAAATGGAATCCATGTGAATTAAGTTCAGCAGCTTGTCTTTGAAGCGGCTTATTTCATCGTTATCACATGAAGTCTTTTGTTTCTGCTCAGATGTATTAGAGAAAATGTTCCCTATAAAATTCCATATATTTGGGAGAACATTTGAGCCAAACATCATGTTTTCATCAGTCTTACTCTGTTCAAGGACTCCAGGCTTAAAGTAAGGTTGTTTGGCAAAAGGATCCTTTAATGTTTCTTTTTGTTCCATGTTATTTTTCACAAAATTTTTGAGCAAGACGTCACTTTCTGTGGCAGGTGTGCTGGTGATATTCTCCTCAGGTCCATGTGTTTTGGGACATATCAGAAGCTCTGTGCATGGCTCTAATCTCCCATATGGGGCTGCTGGCACAAGTGTACCTAAGTATGAGCAAAAGATGCCAATGAATGCATCTACCCCTGCAAAGCAGCTTACCGGGGGTGCTCTGAGAGCCTTGAGCGCTGCTTACCGATTCTGATGTAAACATGGGTGTGCTGCTCAACCCAGACAGGAAAGATGGCCCTTGGAAACACCACTCGAATCTGGTCAAGAAGATGTCTTTCAAGGGAGGAAGCATGCAGTTCCTGGAGAAATGTGATACCATTATAAATTAAATACTGCATACCTTTTTAACATTTATTTGAAGAAAAAAAAAAGTATGTCTTTTTCTAATACACCATTTGAAATATAAAATACAAGTAAACTTGACCACATTTCGTATTTTCTTAGAGGCTGAAAGGAATGGGGCATTGTGCAAAAAACTGCTTGAGTCAAAATCTCTGTCATTTGAAAGACAAGAACGTGAACAATGGAAGGGGTTTTATTACCAGAATTTCCCAATCATCTGCCGTGAGTGGTTCCACCTCTACTTGCTGACAGGAGGACACATGGGAACAGGGCTCAAGAAAAACCTGGCAAAAGTAACACCAAAATATTTAACTCCTTATTTTTTATATAAAAGCTTCATCTCTCAACTAGAAAACTGACATGTCCTTCATTATATGTTTTCACTACTTGGAACACACATCATCCTAATGACACTAGGTAATTCATAATCAGATGAATGCTCAATGGATGGGAAATGGATCCCATTAGGCTCGGGGATGTCAATAAGCAGTGACTAGTAAAAGCATCAGGAGTTTATCAGGTGGTAACAAATAATCCATTTTTAATACACCTTGATCACATAACCACCTTTTCATTTCTTAATATTTATTTTTAAATCCCCAGGATTTTAGAAAGTTGCAAAATTAATTCACTTGGGCATAAATTTAGAACCAGCTGAAAAATAAGGAAAAAAGTACAATAGAAAAGCAAGCCCAGCTCCTTAATGAATGACTTCATAGGAAGCAGCCCCACCTCCACAGAACAGTTTTAATATTCTGTGAATCAGGAAGAATGGTAAAAGCTGCTGTGGCTTAAGTCTTTCAGAATGCATTGAATACACACTTCAAAAGTCAGTATTTGCCAAAAAAACCCAAAAAAACCCTAACAATTTGCAAACAACATCTTGCAATTAATTTTCAAAGAAGCATCTCTATTTCTTTTCCTGAGGTAAAACCAGTTACCCATCCTCTGAGAGAATTACGTTAGGTCACCTTTTACAAAAGTAACAATCAGTTTTGAAATCCTCTATGTCCTTCATTTGAAGCAATAATTGAGAGGAGTATCTTTTCCCCAGCACAGTAAAAAGAAGATCATATAGCAAACATGTAACTCCTGAATCCCAAACAATAGTGAAACTAATTAATCATGTACTTATTCAACTGTACAGATGATTATTCCCAGCAACACCTGGGTGAGGTTTTCTTCAGTTTCCTTTGTCAATGTTTTCCTGTTGAAGGCATTAAGTTGCTAGAACTAAAAGGCGTAGATGCCTGGCTGCTCAACTACTCAACTGGAAATTTCTGCAAACAGACACATAATTTCTAGAGAAAATATGTGTAAAAAGTAAACAAAGTAAGATAATGCACTGCTCTGAGCCACAATCTTTGCTGTCTTCTATGATGTTGAACAAATTTTTTTATATGAGAAAATAGGCAAATATGAATATACTACACAATAACACTGTGTAAAGCAGTACTTTTTTATTCTTGTTTAAGTGTCTACCTATTAATAGAAAAAGAAATCCTTTTATTTTGAAATTTTAGTGGTCCCATGTGAGAAAATTCCATCTGCCTCCCGAGCATCTCTAACTTCTGCTCAATGAGTCATTTATGAGATGTTTAACTGTGTTCAAGAGGAGGAGGTGAATGTACAAGAAGTAGATAGATAGATACAGACAGATATATATTCATAAGAGGTGAATACAAACACTCAAAGAGAAAAGGACATATGGTGAAGGGGTGAAAAAGGGATGAAAATTTAAACCCCAAGTGAGTTAAACAAGAATATGCAGAAATACTCTAAAACAACAGAACTCCAACCAAAATATTCCCATTCCAAATTTGTCAACTGCTTAAACATGTATTTTCTTAAAATTAATGTCACTGAAGATAGTTGTTCCAGCCCTGCAAAGACCTACCCAGAAGCCTATCCTAACATGGTTTAGGTTATTGTTAATGGTTTAATGAGCAAATCTTTTCATGTTTGAGATGTTTCATGATAGCTAACTTTTCTCATGAGCAGATGTAAATGAAGAAACTGTCTAAATACACGAAATAAGGTCACAGCTAACTCATGTAGTATTACCTTTTCACTTATCTTCCAATATGCTCTTTATTTAAACAGAAAACAAAGGTAGCATTTCAAACCTGTTCTCCATCTGTGATGCCAAGTTTCTCTGCCAAATGTCTGTTAATCTCTGCAATATTTTCACCCTGGTGACCTCGATGCCTGGTTTCCATCCAGCTCAAAAATACTGGCTGATGAGCACAGGATACTTTGACAGCTTGGCCCTGTGAGTTCCAAAGAAAGAAAATAAATTTATATAAAACCAGCTAAGTGAGATGACTATTAGACAACATAAACCATATTTTATTAGAGAGATCAAAGGAATTAAAGCTATTATCTGGATTTTACACCTTGTTTGCACAACTCTCAACAAAGAAGTGAGTGCTGGTTTCAATTCTAAAACAGCTTTCTATTTTTATGGACTATTTTTAAGTAAGAAAATTAATTATTTTTCTTTCTTCTGCATAATGGGGTATCAAAAAATATTTTACAGAAATGTGCAACTGCACGTTTGCACTTCCAAAATGAGGAAAAGAAATAAACATAGACTTTGATTTAACAAAAATTATAACATTTACATAGTCTCCAAAGAGTGCTTCCGTGACACATTTAGAATAAGCCAAAAATCACAATATGTAGACCAAAATGATTTTATCAAGCTGTTTCAGAACTGCCCAGGTATTTTAATGTCAAACTGAAGATCTCATCTAATATCTTCTGTAATTAAGATTCTGCTTTTGATTCAATTTATCCCCTTTTAAACATTTTTATTCATTAGATGTCTTTAAGACGCTATTTCTATCAAGTTTCCTAAGATTCCATCTTTTCATTTAGCAGCTCAGGTTAAACAAAAGCAGGAGTCCACCTTAACAAATAGTGTACAGAATGACACTACAAGACTTCAAAGCAACTGCACTCCCTCTCCTCTCTCAACAGCAGATCTGTAAAACACTCAGAAACTGCAGCTGAAATGAAGCTCACATTTACTACTGCATTCCTTCCAATTCCACCAACTTCCTTCTAATACCCCAAAGGTGAACGAGCAGGTTTTTGCACACCTATGTTGTTTTCCCATTATGAAATGCCCTTTTTGGCCTTGAGGACAGGAGGTTACCCACGCCAGGGAGGCCTGCTCGGCCCAGGGGGGCTGTCCCAGCACTCCTGAGCTTGGCTCGCATCCCTCTCGGCTCATTCCTGCCATTTTCCACCCTGCTCGGCCGGCATCAGTTCCGCCTCCATGGCACAAGAGGCACACAGTGCCTCTCCTCCCGTTTCCACGTGTGAAGTGTTATTTACAGTGTAAGGTGCATTCCCTACAGCTGAACCCGCATCTTCAGCAGGGCTCTCCTTGACGGGAATGCCTTTCTAGAGTCACGTATTTTATTTGTGTACACCAAGAATGAGGATTCTGCATGGATTTGTCACCCCTTCTCCTACCTAAATTAATCATTTACACATTATTCGCTTAATGCTAGCAGGTTACGAGGAAAACTGGTTGAAATAGGGCGTAATGATAGAGACGCAGATGCCCACAGTGCCAGACCACACTGGGGAAGAAAAATTCCCGGGTTTTATTAAGAATGGATGACGACACTGGGCCACGCAGGAGGCGAGGGGAGGAGGGGGTCCCCGATGGCTCCCCGTGAGGGGTCCCGGCTGCGGGGAGGAGGGCTCGGTACCGCCGCGGTAACAGGCTGCGGGGGCGCGCTCACGTAATCCTCCCTGTGCGTGGGCCCCGAGCGGCGCCGCCCCGGTACCTGCTGCAGGCGGAGGAGCGAGGCCAGCGCGGGTGGCAGGTGCAGGAAGCAGTCGCGGGTCCCGCTCAGGACGACAGTGGCGGCGGCGGCTCCACCGGGGTCGCCACAGCCCCACATGGCCGCCGCCCGCTCCGCCGCCCGCTCCGCCCGGGCACGGACCCGCCTACCGGGGCGGCGCGGGGGGTAATGCTCCCTGCCACCCCCGGGGCAGTGGTACGGCCCACTGCCGGCCAATGCGGGCACGGCGTTTCCCCGCTGCCCGCCTCTGATTGGCTCCTTCGCTGCGGACCGCGGCTCCTCCTCCCCGGCGCACGGAGGGAGCCAATGGGGGCTGCGCGGCGCGGCGGGAAGATGGCGGCCGGCGGCAGCAGCGGGGGCCCGGGCGCTCCGTGCCGGCACCACGCGCAGCTGGGAGCGTGCGCGTCGCGCGCCAAGTACCGCGAGGGGTGGCGGCCGCGCGCCGTGAAGGTGCCGGGGCGGGCGGGGCGGGCGGAGCCGCCTCCGTGAGGGGCTGGGGCGGCCGGGGCTGCGCTGGAGTCCCGCGGCTCCCGGGAGGGAGAGAGGGAGGCCCTGGGCCTGGCCTGCTGCGTGGCCGGGGCTTCTCGTTACTGCAGCAGAACTGAGAGCTTTGGTATCTCTGTGTGCGCTCAGTGTACAGTCAGCCGTAGCGGCACCTTAGAGGCTGGCCCGAGAAAGGAAGCGCTAAGGTTGGAGAAGACCTTTAAGATCATGAAGTCCAACCGCTTCTGTTTCCAGCCTCTTGTCAGGAGTTGTAGAGAGCGATGAGGGCTTCCCGAACCACCTTTTTTCCAACCTGAGCCCCCCAGCTCGCTGAGCTGCTCCTCATCAGACCTGTGACCCTTCTCTGGACATGCTCTGGCACCTCAGTGTCTTGGAGAGAGGCCCCGAGCTGAACCCCGGATCCGAGGTGTGGTCTCACCAGTGCTGGAATAATGGTTACTGTGTGCCCATACACATAGGGACATCTTTTTCGCTATTGCCACCTTCCTGTAAAATTTCAAACCCTCCATAGTTCATGAAGTCTCAAAGCTATTACGTTCTTTTATTCTTCCAAGTGTACATGGTGAGGCAGAGGACAGAGAGCCTTGTGCATCCACAGAGCTCTGGCCAGCACGGGCATCCAGCCATCACTGGGCATTGGAGGATACACACAGGAGAAACAGTATGGATGTCTCAATTGTGGAAAAAACCTTATTAGAATATTTTCTTCCTGGACAAGAAAGAGCTAGAAGGACAAACCTTCCCAAAAAAGCCAGTCACATAGTGAAAGCATCAGGTTCCTTCAAACCCTTGTTCCCAAAAGAATGTAGGTGAGAGTGTGCAGCTGCCACAAGAAAAATTATGTGACCTGCCTGTGGAGACTTTTATACTGGAAGTTTGAGAGTTGGTTTCCCAAGCAGTTCCCACTTTGTCCAGAATATGGGGATTTTTTAAGAAATGTGTGTAACTTATGCAGTTTAAATATTTGTGGTTTGGGGTTTTTTTTTTTTTTTTACAAACTCAGAATAAATTTCCTTTAATCTCAGGGATGAGCTGCCTAGCTGTCTGTTGTACATAGTGAGCCATCAAAAAGCTTTGCTTAGAGTCTGTTATGTGACAGTCACAAAGCAAAAGAGAATGGCTGGTTTCATTTTTAACTTGCTGGGAGAAGACCTTCTTTCTCTCAGCATACAGATTTTATCTGTGTGTCTTAAAAATGTACATTGTTGGATCACCATGGGAAGTAGACAGCTCTGCACACACAGGATTTACCCCAGGGAATTGTGGTAATTATTTTTTTACTCCCCGTGTGGAAAAAAGCAGTTTTCCTCACTTGCACGACTTCTTTGCCTACAAAGACCAATTTTTCAGTGGTTTTTTTCTGTATTTTGACAGTATCTCCTATGAACTGGTCACTAGTATGTCTTGCATGGACGTTGGCCAGAGATGTAAGAGATTTTACTTGGGAACTGGCAGTAGTACTCTGACTTTGTGCAGAAAAGTCAAGTCTCATTTGTGTTTTACTATGCATGAGAGGCATGAGTTCAGCTCTTGCCCAGTGATGAAGAGGTCCCAAATAACCATGCACTTACTGCCCTGCAAAACAGAGTACACATAGGTTTTCAGCATCCTGAGAGGATTTGAAGAAAAACAGAGAACATGGAGAAAATGCATGCCTTTTGCAATAAAGCAAGAATGGGAATGTTTTTGAATAGTCTTTGTTTTTGTTTTTTTTTCAGGTTTACACTATCAACTTGGAATCTCGCTATTTACTGATACAAGGAGTTCCTGCATTAGGTGTTATGAAGGAGTTAGTTGAACAATTTGCATTATATGGTGCCATTGAGGAATATCATGCTCTAGATGAATATCCAGCAGAGCAGTTTACTGAAGTGTACCTTATAAAATTCCAAAAACTGCAATGTGCAAGGTATTGAACAGGGCAATATCTGCCTCTTGCTGTCTTAATCTTTTACACCTTCTGTACTTGCATTGTGTTAAGTAAAATCCTCAGTTTTGTTGATAGACTTTAATTCCCTTCAGGGTGGCCAAGAAAAAAATGGATGAACGCAGTTTCTTTGGTAGTTTGCTGCACGTGTGCTATGCTCCAGAATTTGAAACAGTCCAAGAAACTAGAGAGAAGTTGCAGGATAGAAGAAAGTATATAGCAAAAGCAACAAATCAAAGAGGTTAGTGATTAAATTTTCTATAAAATCCTGACTAAATTTCCTATAAAGTTTTAATGTTCTTCAGGACTGGGTGGGGTTTTGGCTAAAGTGCCTGTTAAAGAAAACAACTTTTTACCTACCTCTTTTAAAGATGCTATAGTGTGTGGATGGTGGCCAGATGGCAGTCGTCCACCAAAGCTGCTCACTCACTGCCCTCCACAAACTGGACAGAGGAGAGAAAATTTAACAAACAGTTCATGGGTTGAGATAAGGACCAGGAGGGAGATCACTTATCAAATGCCATCAAGGCAAAACAGGCTCTACTTGGAGACATAAAGTGAATTTATTAGTAACAAACTCAAAGGAGGATGAGAAGTAAAATAAGCCCTTATAACCACCTTCCTCCCTTCTCAGCTCTATCCCCTACCCAGCAGTGCAAGGGGACAGGGAATGGGGGTAATGGTCAGTTCATCACCCATGGCTTCTCCCGCTGCTCAAGGAGAGGAGTTGTTTCCCTGCTGCCCCGTGGGAGGCACGGGAGGCAGTTCCCTGTGAGCTCTCCAGCCTGAGCCCATCTCGGAGCGGCGGCTCCCTGTGAGCTGCTGCCACGCGAGTCCCTCCGTGGGGCACAGCCCTCCCCAGCCTGCTCAGGGTGGGTCACTCCTCCCGGGGTGCATCCTCCAAGGCCAGGCTGCTCCAGCCCGGAGCCGGGCCCCTCTCCACGGGTCTCCCACAGGATCGCAGCCTCCTCCCAGGCATCCCCGTGCTCCGGCCTGGGGCTCCTCCCCGGGCTGTGGCGGATCCCGCATCCCCACGGCCTCCACGGGCTGCGGGGCACAGCGGCCTCCCCATGGCAGCACCGCGGCCTGAGGGAATCTCGGCCCCAGCGCCTGGAGCCCCTCCTGCCCCTCCTGCCCCGACCTCGCTGTCTGCAGGGCTGCTTCTCTCACGGGCTCGCTCTGTTCTTCTCTGGCTGTAGTTACAACTGCACAACCACTTCTTGTTTATTTTCCTGCTTAAATCTGTTACCACCATTTCTATCGGCCTGGCCTTCCCCAGTGGCACATCCATCTTTGGAGCCACCAGGAATTGACTCTGCTGGACATGGTGAAAGAATCTGGCAGCTTCTCACAAAAGCCAACCCTGTAGCCCGCTTGCAACAAAAAAAAAGGGGTCATGCAAACCCAATACAGAAGCATTTTAAGTATGTTTACAGGGAGACATCTCTCAATATGTAGAGAACGATATCCTTTTCAAAGTAATTTTTTTGGCTTTGATTAAGACTAAAATAATGAAATTATTAAGCTTTAATAATTAAGTATTTCCTTCACTTTTTGTTTTCTTTCAAAGTGCTACCAGAAATTTAAAGCACTGGCAGGAAATTTGGGATCACACTTTTACCCTTGTTCCAGCCTCCTCAGGCGTGCCAAAGGGAGAGTTTTGGAATGAATATGACTATACCAGAACCTTCAAAAAAATTTCTCCAGCCTACATCTTTGCACTGGGGGAATGTTAAGAATAGACTGTGTTTACAAAGGCTTCTGTACCACAGAGTTCCCAGGCAGTGCTGAAGGCTGGGCATGCTGAGGAATAAGCAAATTGCTGAGCACAAGCTTCTCCTTTCCTGTGCTCACATACTTGGGTATCATTATTCATTGTGTGTGGATTTCTAAAGGGAGTAAACCCACTGATTTTTAACATCAAAACATCTGGGTTTTTTTCAGTGTTATAAACCAGCAAAGGCACTAGACTGCAAAACTGGTTTGAAAGTTGAATTTGTTATATTTTAAGCTTGAAAATAATCACAGAAAAGTAGCTGGGAATCAAATATCACTGGTATTGTTCCTGCATTTATATCAAAAGTTTTGTTCTTGGGTGTTAGAACTAATAATGACATGAAATAGTGAAGGTGTTTCTTTGTTGTTGTTTTAAAGATTGCTTTGTGTTAAAGAAAGTAGAAGGCCCCAAGAAGACAGCCTCAAAGAGCTCTGAGCATGACTGTTCACAGAGTACATCAGGATCAAGTATAGCCAGTGACTGGGATTCATCCTGCTTTACAAGTCATCCTGGGGTATCCCACAACACAGCATATCCATCTGGGAATCAGAATCAGAGTCGGTTAACATCTCCACACTATGATAACAACTGTGCTGAAATTTCTGGGTACTTTGGTCAAAACACATCTTTAACTCCAAGTGTACATCCAGGAGTGTACACTACACCAGCTCCCTTAATGCAGCAAAGAATGGTTCCAGCTTGCAATGGAATTGACAGGTTTATGCCTCGTACAACTCACCTACAAGAACGTAAGAGGAAGAGAGAAGAAGGTAACAAGTTTTCCCTCATTGGAACAAGTGAGGACAATACTGAAATTGTTATTGGTCCACAACTACCAGAAATACCTAAAGTGGATATGGATGATGAGTCTTTGAATACTTCAGCTACATTAATTCGAAATAAGCTGAAAGAGGTATGGGTTCTTAAAGTTCTGATAGTTCAAACATAGGTGCTTGTTATCTATAAAAACAGTGATAAAATATCTGATAGCTTTATTCAGCATTTACTCATTATCAGTTTATCTGCCACTTAAAGCTGGTGCTCTTACTATTTAACTTTTCCACAATCTAGAATATTGCAGGCAATTCTACTCCAGATATCTTACACTACACTGGAGAAAGCGTAAATGTCAGTGCATGTTCTTATGTGATTTTCAGTAAACTACTTTTATTTCCTCCACATGTGAAAGCATGATAATTTTGTAGGTAGTCCTGCTGACTCCAGTGTGCTACTTGTATCTGGTTTCTGAAAGGAAAATAATGGAAGTCAGAGTTCAATGTAATTTTGCTCCAACACTTCTTATGCCATTAAAAGCACTACAGAATCACTAATTCCATGCTGAGAAGCATGTGTTAAGCTATATATCCTTTTATGGAGGATATTAATCAATTAGCAGGTTGAACATTTAATTTACATTAAGATATGAAAAAGCTCCCTTGACTAACTAGATTGATTTGAAAGTGCATATCTCATAAATAAGCACTCTTTATATTAAACACCTTTCTAAAATATGTGTGAAAATACATGTTTCTGTTTTCCCTTTGTTTCCTGAAATACCTGAGTTTATAAAGCACATTAAACCTTGCTTAAAAACACCTGTTAGGAAGAAGGGAAATGACATACATAATATTCTATCACTGACTATCTGAAATCAGTTTGTGTAGTTAAATACACAAATGGTAGGGCTGAATCTTTTAAGTTTCACTTCTGTTGTGTTTACTGCTGCCTTTGATGCTACTTTCTTCCTCTAGTCAGCAGGAAAATTCAATGCAAGTGTATTACAAGTGATGATAGTAATAAATCCCTCCCAATACCCAAACCTTGGATATGTGGCCCTCCTCTAAAATGAGCATAAAAAAAGTAATTGTTTCAGGTTACTAATATCTTTTCCCCTCCAATTTAGGTAGCAGATTCTGTTTCAACGTCTGTGGAAAAACCAGAGAGCAGCTCAGCCAAACCAGTTGTAAAGCAGAGAAGAAGAATATAGATACTGCTGGCAGTATCTTCTAACAGTCCTTTTGTAAAGAATATATTTTAAATATGTATTTTTAAATGTAAAAAATAAAATTTTCTTATACTGTATTTCCCAGTGATTCCCTGTTAAAAACTGTCATTTTGTTATTTGGAATGAAGAAACCAATATACTGTGTTATTGTTGCAGTGTTGCCCTGTGTACCTCATATTGTAACATATTTTACATAACTCACAGAAGAGCTCTATTTAGGTAGAGTTACAGAAGTAAATTCATTTATTCTATAGCTTTAACAGCAAAGGAAGACTGAAGGTTAGGAGCAACTTGAAATATGACTGTTTTTACTATATCACAAAGAATGGTGAAGATGAAGACCCCTTTTAACAGCATTCAGCAGTGGAGTTACAACTTGGAGTTACTACTTAGGAACTTCCCGGAAAATTTTCTGTTCAAATGACATACTGCTCTGTTAAAAAAAAAAAAAAAAAAAAAAAAAAAGAAGTTAATTTTCAGTTAACTAAAGGATTTGTATTTAGTCAGAAAAGGTACTGAACTGAAATGTGTATGCAGTGAAGACTGTCTCTTGCTTTTTAGCTTAGAAAAGGTAAATCCATAGCATTAATGGTATCATCACAAGCAGACCAGCTAGAATATTCAAAGTTATAGTTGAAGGAGAAATTAAAATTTTAACTGCTCAGCAGTAGGGGTGTGTCCCAAGGAATGATCTGGCATTAAGGGCCAGAAGAAGGCCCAGCTGCAGAATGAGATAAACTGGATGAAAACAGGAATGCTAGAGACTGGGGTGACAGTGTACAGGACTGAAATTTCCCTTAGTGATGAGATTAATACCTGCAGCAGTGTGCTGCAACAACCCTGAGTGGGAGTGCTCAGGGACCACCTTTGGATAGCAGAACTGGCACTGAGAGGTTCAACTCCACATTGGCCTAAGATACCCTGACATTTCACAGGATTGATGCAAGTGTCTGTAAGGAATTGGCTTGTGCAGTTTTTTTTTGAACTCAAGGTTAATGTACCTTTATGTCTGGCAAACATGGTCCAAAGGCTTCTAAGAGAAGGTTTTCATCTCTGACTGCTTGTTCAAAGTCCGTAAAAGAAAGCTTGCCATCGTGATCGTAGTCCTGCAAAAGGAAGGGACCACTTCAGCAAAGGATTAGTACTTGTAGTTTTGTTTAACAGGTGTTCAAAGAACATGGATTTTATTTTTACTTAGATTTGCAAATTGGGGGTCATCTGTTTATGCTCAGAAAATATTTGTGTGACTTGTCTCTACCACAGGCAAAAAGGGTGGGATTGAAAAATTGAAAAGATGGTCTTAAATATAAAAGGAGTTGGGATGCAAAACCTGGTTTGAAGTGAAAATTTTTGACCACCACCATGCAAGAGGAGAGGATATATCTAGATTTGATTAAAGTACTGACAGACTCTCCCCAGATGCTCTGATATTCTAGATTAAGCACTGTAAAACAAGCTTCACATTAATAACCTTGAGTTTACTATTCTAATAGAATACATACAAATAAATAGGATAAAGACATTACATTTATAAAACACAAATATACTTAAAAATGAAGCTACTGCAGATGCTGGTACTGCTGGAATAAATGCAACTTACACTTCTGAGTTTTCCACTTCTGACTGGGCTCTTGCTTTGACTGGGCATGCATAGATGTATAGGCCATACATACATGCTAGTTTATACATAAAGTTTATAGTACAGTCACATACTAAATTAATGATTTCATATGAGAATACTGGACTGGGACTCATTAGATCTCATATATTTCTGGCTTTCCTCTGGAGACTTGCAGAATCCTACTGTAAATAAGATACCTTATTTGTTACTTCATAGAAAGGTTTTAAGTATCGGTTAGTGAATCTTTGAAAGACCCTCAAGTATCACAACAAGTAAGTACTTGCCATTTTCTTCAGTGCTATCTCTACCAAGTCCTTAACTCCCTCATCAGGCTCTTCATCTGCTGGTTGTATGAGAAGGCTGTGTTTCAGCATTTGAAACATTTCCTCTTTTGAAATGTATCCATCACCATTCAGGTCATAAACAGCAAAACAGTCTTTTGAAATACAAATAAATAGGAAGTTGATTACAAACTATAATCACGTACCATTCAAGCTCTAGACCTATAGACAGAAAATTACCTATAGACAGACAGAGCTGTTCATTATCAACTAAGCCAAATTTATCATATATTCTGAAACACTCCTGGCAAACACTTGTGACAGACAGCACTGCATCACTATGCACTAGTATCTTCTATAGTGCTTACAGCAGGAATGCATGTTTTACTGTTTGTGGTTGTACTGACACACTGAATTACAACCTGGGCACACATCCTAATGCTGTGACACCCCTGACCACTTTCCAGATGGATTTATATAATGCAGTAGGGATGGCTAATGCTGTAACCTAGGAACTATGGAAACAACATGCTGTCATTCTCCTTTTTCTATTGTTTTTCTTCACTCCACATGCCCTATTTTTTTCCCTGCTGCTTAAAATTCTAGAGTTCTTGCTATTTTTTCTCTTCCATCTTTCTCTGTCATTACTGTGGAGGTTCTCATTACCATCTTACAGTTTTTCCATCTCTGCTTCCAATCTGAAGAACTGCTGGAGCTAATGCAACTGTGACTGTGTCCCCAGTGTGCCAGTAAATGAATGTTGGCACTGGTCTTGCTTGGCTTGAGACTGTTAATTAGCCAAAAGCACACTAGAGATTCATCTGCTTCTTTCTAATTTTGTGTGTGGATACAAAAACATGTACTTTTTTCCAGAAGTGTATGCTGTAGAATAACCTTCAGTTTAAATGCAAGATTTTGTAAGCAACAAAAAAAGGTGGTGGCTGTGGTAACAGTAGTTAACAGGAAAAAACTGTCTCAGAGAAGCCATTTCAGAACTCAGTTTAATTGCATTAAACGATACAGAAGAAAACTTTTCAATTACCAAATACTTTATAAGAGTAACTACTAAATTATAACAAAAGGAATGTGTTGTTATTAATTCAATCATTACTACTAAATATTAGCATACAGATCAATCTTACATTTCATCTTCTCTTCCAGTGTCCCCCGAAGTAACACTGCTAAGCCTTCCACCCATTCCACCACAGTGATGCAGCCAGTGTTGTCTTTATCAAAAGTGCTGAACACTAAGAAGTGTATTAAGACACATTTCAAATTTATATGATAGGGAAACACAAAACCCACAATGTTTTCTTAAACTCAGTAAAATTATAAATTATCTTTCTTCTTAAGATGTTTGTCTGCTTTCACCAAGGTAAGATTACCGTTCTTGACTCTAAGATGTAACAATGAAAGGGATTCTGCCCCTCAGTTTACTGATCTTCCACTCCAGAATCCTGCCTGGTTAGATTTGTCCGATCTGTTGCCTTCCTGACTTAACAACTACGGGAACTATGCTTCCATGCAGATGTAAAGCAAATAAACCAACATCCTTTAAAATAAGGGATAATTCTGCATACAGATTAAGATTTAAATTACTAAGTTTTGTCTCAGAAAATCTTGGACAAAATAATTCTAGAAATGATACATATTAAATCTACAAAGAAAAATAACCTTTTTTTCTGTCAAAATATTTTTCTTCTCCCTTCCCTAAGCAACTTTCACAGCTTCACTATTCATACAGCCTGTAATACAGTAATTCAAAACCAAGTAGTTCAAAGCATCCACCAGCATCCGTAATAATTTGTATTTTAGAATATTAATTAGTAAGTTAGCTGAAGGAACATCTCCCCATGCAGAGCCAAGCATTTTTGACTTTGAAGACAATAGGTTTGCTTCTGTGAACTGTAATCAGCCCCTTTGTGTGTAAGCATTCAAGTAATTTTTAAGAATGTATAAGGTTATGTAAGTTATCTTCCAAGACACACTTGACTTGCTGCATAAAATTGCAACAAGTTTTCATTTTATGGCATGTAAGTAGCTCTCCTGCTAGAGACATGGAGAAAGTTGAACCAAGGGGTGGCTCTCAGCAGCCCAAGACTGAAAGAAGGGCAGACTCATGCCTGCTCTGCATACTCCTCTAGACATTGCTACATCCTTCAACTTTCACAGTGACTGCAAACATGCCCCTTGTTGCCAATCTGTGAAATCACTGTATTTTCACGGGGTTATTTGTCTCATTACTCTCAGGCCCTTCAATGCTGCTCACAAAGCCTCTATTCCCAGCGTTACCCGCTGTATCAGAATGCCTTCCTGGGACTCCCCTCCCTGAGCTAGAGCTGTCGCCCAGCAGCGACCGCAGCTCCCGGGGGAACCACCGGAGAAAAGAAAGTGACGCTTCGGTCACGACACTACAGAGGCTGCGACAGAAACAACCACAGGGCAGCCAAGGGCCTCTGCCTGCTCTGCCCGAGCCAGAGCGTGAGCTCTCCTGAACTAAGGGAAAACCGTGACGCCTAAAGAAAGAAAAGATGCCATTTTCTCAACAGCTCCCGAGGATTACTCCTCCTTTGCCGTCCCGGCCGGGACCTGACGATGCTGTTTGGTATGGACGCGCTCGTCGGGTCGCAGCGTCATCCCGACCGCTTCCACGGCGTCCAGAGCTGCGTGCCCGCCTCACCTCGGTCCAGCACCACGTCATCCGTCATGCCGAAGGCGTGGTACAGCGTGTCTCGGAACACGGTGCGGTCGAAGCCGGCCCCAGCAAACTGGCTGCTGGCCTTGGCCACCAGCGTGTCGAAGAGCTTGACCAGACATTCCACTTCGCTTTTGGTAACTGCCCGGCCCAAACACAAGCAAACACAGGTTGTAAGTTAAGCTGGTCAAACACGAGGCAGGCACAGGAACACGCCTCGTGTTAGCAATAATCACCCCCCGCCCCGGCCCCAGCCGCTGCTCCTAAGGGAGCTCCTAAGGGAGACGAACAGAGGCACACAGGATGGGCACGGAAACAACGGGAGCGGCGCGGCTCCTGCAGCCCGGGGGGACTCACAGTGCTTGGCGGATCGGGTCAGCGAGTCCAGCAGGAGCTTTCCCCCCTTCCTGCTCATGGCGGCCGGGAGCTGCTGCCGCTGCCGCTGCCGCTGCCGCTGCCTGGCAACGCGGGGGGACGGCCGCGGCCGGCCGGTGCCGCTGGGCCGCACGGGCGGGTCACGCAGAAACACACAGGCAGGACAGAGATCGAGTTAATAGGCATTCAAAAAAACTGCAGTAGTAAAAAATAAAATAACTACATTTTAAGTGTCTAAAAACGTTTGTGGGGAAAAAAGAGCTAAAAGTTACAACATACAACATACAATAGTGCTTGTTCATCTACTGTCAGAAGGCAAGAATATATTAAACCACTCTTATTCCGACATTGCCTATTTTCTACTTTGTCCCTCTGCTGAAACTTGGAACATGGGTGTAGGTGCCACCTCAAACCCCCATCAGTCTCACGACCTCGACGTGGGCACATCAGAAAAGCTGAAAGGCTGAGACCAGCCTCCACATTTCCTTCAGGAAAAAGGGCACGCAGGAGCAGACTCAACGCATTTGTTAACGTATTGCAAACTGAAGCAGTTCCCTTTCAGTACTAAAGCAGCTTTGTTGGGAACTGACACAGCCCATAAGCCCCTTAAGCGGCCAGACCCCTTCCCAAGCATGACAGCAGCACTCCAAGCCTACAGCTGAGCAGAACAGATAGTTACAGTCACACAATTAAAATTACATACCGGCTTAGGTATTTGGAAGACTGGGTCTCATTTCCATTTTTATTTCTTTCTGTGGCAGGTGGTTGCGTAAAAGTCAAATAAGGTATTACACAGGACAGAGCATTTATGCTACGGTTCATTACAGGTTCTTTTACCAAAACTGCAACACCACAACTTAAAAAGAAAACAACCCCAACAAAACTACATACAAACCCCAAACCAAACCCCTCTGTTCACTGCATATCACCTTTATTTTAACCTCACTGACAAGAGTGTCTAGAATGGGTAACATCAAGCCCAAGAGTATAAAATAGTTGATGAAAATATTACTATTGTTTAGATGCACATTGCTGTAACTCAATGGTTGTATTCTCCCAAGAACTTGAAGACAATTTCTCTGTACACAATATGAAATCACCTTTTCCCACAGATTTTAGTTATGGTTTGCAGACTAATAATCAATGTCTTCAAAGTCCTGAAATTCTTGGCAACACAACATTTGAAACATCCATATGCAATAGAGGTAAGTTCTAAGCTAGCACCTGTGCAATGGAAAAGAGGGGTAGATCAAAAATACAATCTATATTTGACTACCTGGGATGGATGGGCATTTGTTAAAGGCTAACAGAAGGCCCAGCAATTAGTATTTCAATGGAAGATGTAGTGAGAACTTAATGTAAACTAAAATCAAATGGTTGCTCATGTTTTCTTGTGGGCACATTTAATTTTAAAAAGCTTCTTTTCAGTTATCTAGAGCAACTAAAGTGAAGTAAAACAGCTTTATGAGTTAGGTCAACATTCTGTAGCCCTCAAGTACAAAAATATAAATACAAACTGTTTAAACAGTATCTTTAATGAGATTCTGGCAGTAGTTTTTTTATCTAACAAGACGCATCACATAACAGATCTGCCACTGAACTTGCTCAGAGTAAAATCAGCTTCAATATGAAGCTGTTAAGGTATCAAAACCCTGCTTTTTACATGCTAAATAACTTCAGCAAGTGTGCACTTAAACACAGCAATGAACTTAACTATAACTACATACATGAAAATCTGCATGTGAAATGTAATTCACAAAACTGGTTACAACAAATGATTACCTGCATTTTGTTAATTTAAAAATGGTACAAATCATGCAAAACAATTCTAAAGATAATGCAAAGAAAGCTACCAGTGTTTGCAAGAAGTTTTCAATTAAACCAAAATTACATTGAATGAAATACGCATATTTACTAGCAAAGGTCTATCGCTATTTTGAAAAAGCAGAGGTAAAATCTTCAGGTTTTGAATGTCCGTTATACTGCAAAATGTCATTGCTCTTGCTTAATGCAGAAGCACATGCTTGGAAGCTCAAAACTGCTCATTCAGAAAAGTCTGCTGACAATAGCTCTAGCTTCCCAGGAATGCAGAGATGCATGGATTAAAAGTAGCAAAGATTTGCAAGATCAAAGGCAAAGGCACCCTATTCAGGTAGCCAAAATGGTAGCATTCTCTTTCTCATAAGCATGGAGACAATAATGGGGCAGATGATCCACATTTCAACTAGGCAGCCTTTTAAATATTATTGTTAATTTTCCATTAGCAGACACCAGCTTGTAGTAGTTTATGCATAATATTAACCTGCAGGGTGAACTTGGGATTTAATGTCTCCTGATTTACAAATAAAACCTTTTACTAATGCTTTAAAAGACTATTTTTACTATCTAAAAAGTTTAACTCCTATTTTCCAATATTTTACACCTCAGCTGGCCTACCGCCTCATCTCAAACATCTAACACTGCTTACTGGAATCTTATCAAAGTTGTACCTCCATGTATTAAGCAGCAGGCAATAACAATGGTCTTTCCCAGCACAGCTGCATCTGGCTGGCTACTGAAGGATTAGGAATAGTTCTAAAACACAGGAAAACTCATGCAGTTTGGTAAAGTTTGCTGTCATTTCACAGTTTAAGTTTCCTTTAGTCATTGCACTTCTGTTGATAGGCTCCGGTTGTTTTAAAATATTTATTCTGAATCTGAATTGGAACCAGCAGTCTTCTTTTTCTTCTTTTTACCATGTTTCTTGTGCTTCTTTCTCTTTTTTGTTTTATCCTAAAAAAAAAAAAAAAAAAAAGTTTTTCTATAATACAATTGCCATCAGTTATATTCTGCTAATGCAAAATGAGAACCAAGAATGGATATCTTTTGAAAGACATTTCAAAAGAGATTTCTACAGAAGCCTATTGAGAAATCACAAAAAGAAATACTTTACCCAACAATTTGGACTATTATGAGCAGTTCTTCAATTTAAATTTAAATCTCAACCATGGTATGGCTATTTTACACCTCTGATCACTGTCACTATTACATTTCCTAATATTTTAAATTCTTTTCAGAGCATTATAGACTACTGAGGAAGTAATAAGGAAGTGTTGACCCGCAGTGACAGATTTGGGAATAACTAGGATGTTTACATATTTTTAAGTAAGCGCTTAAATTCACTGTGTAAAATTATATAGCTCAACTGCACTTGGCTAGACTATCACTTGTACCTTGTTTAAAATAAAACAATTACGATCTCAACTGGAAATATAAATACACTCAAATTGACCCTAATGGATTCAGTCCTAAAGGTAGTACGCTGATCACTGTAATAAAGAAGCTAAGAGATGCAATCTTGTCTTTTTGAAAGCAGAATTTCAAATGAAATTCTCATATAGATGTGGCATTGCATAAATGAAACAATCAGTATTAAAGCTTTGTTTTATACATATTCCCACATACAAATCCTTTATGAAAAAGACCATAAGCAATCAACTAGAAATGTTATGGCAAATGGTTCCCATGAGTCTGAGAAAAAAAAGCAAGTTCCATGGAAAAATGTGTACTGAGTATCACTGATACTCCTATGCCTGTATTTTTAGGTGACTAATGTAGACCTTCCCTTTGCCCCACCTCATGTGGACAACTGAGATGCCTGATCAGGAACACTGCTGTGGACAGGGGAGAATGATACAAAGACATCTCAAGTGGGCATTTAGGATCCCACTGACTGAGGAACCTCAGGTACATGCGGAAAATCTGGATTCCATATAAATCACTACTGAACCTTCCTTCCACTCTGACCAACAGATACAAAGAAAAAATACTGAGAAAAGTAGCAGGTTACTGGCAGCTTTTTATCTGGTTGGGAAAAAGAGTTATAACTGCATAGATGCTGCAGCAATTTTGTCCCAAGGCCCTTTCCATGATGGCAGATAAGGCTTAGCAAGGAATTACACACAACACTAATGAAGAGAACAGCCCTGATGTCTGTCTGTGTAGCAAACTGCTCCCCTACTTGATACCACACAGGCATTAGTAGTTCTAGAACATCGATACAAAATAAAGTATATCCTACAGGAAGTGTTAAAGTTGTAAAAATCTCAAATCACATACAGGTAAAAGAGTGACAGATTCTTCTTTAATTCAACAATTGAAAAAGTGACTTAAGCAAGTAAATAGAGAAATTTCTAATTTAGATGTAACAGTAGACTAATGCTATGAAACATTTGTATCTGTGAAAACCGTTAAACTAGAAATTAACCAAGTACAGAGTATTTATATCCTAAAACTACAGTATGAGTAAGAGGGATACTTGCTGTTTTCTCTTTTTCCTCATTGCTTTTCTTCTTTTTTGCTTGCACCTAAAGAAAATAAAACCAAATGTAGTATTCATAAAAAGTTGATTCTCAAGAAAATTCATTCAAAATTACTTGTAGGTGATAGAAGCTAGACTAAACAATCCTTAAACATTTATTTTAAAAGGAAAATACAAACAACTTTGAGTGCACTGCACTCTTCAACTGTGCAGTGCAGAACAGTTTCAACAATGTATAAAAGCTGAACTAGTTCACTGATTCGCTCATAAATCAGTAAGCTACAAGCACTGTAACATCGGAAGCTGAGGATTCACACTCACCTCCTCTGTCTGATCTGATTCAGATACAGATTCTGACGATAAAGGTCCATCACCACGATCTGCTTTCTTCCTTTTCCTGTGGTGATTTTTACCTTCCTACACAAAATAATATATTTGTAAGTAAAGACAGAGCTTTCACGTTTTATAAAGCTTCTGCTTAAAATTGAAGATTGAAATATCACTTTTAAGTTGTGAAATATTTTAAAATATTATTGACATTAAACTAATTCCATCATCATTATCAAATTACCCTAACAAACGGTTAAAATCAACTTTTAGTGAAAATAATAATTTTCTGTATATTCCTTTTTCTTGTTACCAAGATACAGGAACTGTCTAAAGGCAAGAGGAATACTAACAGTCTCTTATTTTAAATAATAACACATGGAGCAGTAAGCATTTGAAAATAAAACATTTCACCACTTTTAAGTAACTAGTAACTGAAGATGTCTCAATACATACATACAAATATTTTAGCTTCTGACTCTTGCTTTGTTCATGAAAGAAATGTTCCCTCTGTATTTGTGTTGAACCAGGACAAGCTGTCCCTGCCAGCTGTACTTTCAACACATCATATTTGATTCCAGTGCATTTAAAAGAAAGGATTTTTAAAATTCTGATGCTGTGTGAGATTGTTCTGATGAGCTACTTTTCTGCTGCCTGCACTTCCTTTGCTCTGGACAAGGCTATGTGCTCCTAAGACTGAAGGTACTTTCACTCAGTTTCTAAGACCAGAAACTTCTGAAAAGAACTCGTGACCAAGTACACAGGAGGCAGCCCATCTGGCACATCAGGGGATCTGCGGGTAGGGGAATAAAGACCTCTAGTTCTCAAGTGCCCTTTGCTTTCAGAGGATGTGTGAAAGTAGTGCTACAGTAAGGGACCATGGAAGATACTTGGTCTTCAAAGAGAAGCCATTCAAAAGGATGAGATGGGAAATGGACACTGTAAAATAGAAGCAGGAGCAAAGGGAGAAAAATAAGTACATTTGCCTTAGGCAATGGAGAATTTGTACATCAAAGTCAATACTATTGACCAGAACAGGAGAGGCCAACATGATAAGAAAAGTAACTGGAAAGAAAGATTAGGGTGGACTCTGAAAGCATTTTTAGTTTATCCATAGTGTATGAATAACTAAAATTGAAGTAAATTAGATTGTTTATGTTAAAGATAATGGATGAGTGTACAAAATGGTGTGGTGGTGGGCAGGAGAGAGGATTTTCATGCTTAGAGAAATGGCAGAATAAGGTCATTTTTCTTAAGCTAATACCATTTTCTCTGCAATTATTCAAAGCAGTCATAAGTATACTGTCTATGACTACATTTAGATGAAGAGTTCCTCTGCTTATGTTTCTTCATTTACAGCAACAAGTCAATACCCTACCAGGTGTGCCACTGAAAATATCATCACACACATTTTTAGCTCAATGTGACAGCTAAAGGTAAACACCAAAACATTATGGATGCAGCTGACCTTTAATTTACCTATGTAACAAGAACAGATCCATTGGTTTTCACTACAATAATTACTAAACCAGGAGCTGAATCCAACTAAACTTCTACTTCAAACTGGGTTCACTGAATACCTTATGACTGTGTGGGTTTGCACAGAAAATTTCCACAGATGTAAAAGGAGGTATTCAATATTAAAAAAAGAAATATCCATTATGTATGCAACATGCAGTTCTCATCAAAGGATTTCGAGAATAAAAATACCTTCTCTTTTTCACAGTCTTCCTTTGACCTCTTCTTTTTTGTGCTATCCTACATAGAAAGGAAAACAAATCACAACAAAATAATTTCATTAAAAAGGAAGAAATCTCCAAAGTAGTCTGGCCAACAGTCTTTTTATGTCTGTTGAAGGTAATTCTTCAAGATTGTTCTTTCTACCTTGAAGCTGACAAGAATAATATAAAAAGCTGTAATTTTGATGCAGCTGCTAATCTCCTGATCCAGCAGCATGGAAATGTCTGTATGGAATGAGGTAACAGCATCCTTGCAGGACACTTAGCCTCTGGGAAGGCTACCAGCTATCACAGCTGTAACCACATGCAACATGTAACAGCTGGGAATCTTTTTTCTTTACCCATGTCCATCTCTGCTGATCAGACCAGGTTGAGCAGGTATTTCCCCTGAGTTTTTTGCATAAGGGTATCTCTGGGTCCATTTATGTAGCAGATGTTTTTAACCTCCCATTAGCACAAATTCATAGATGTCTGCGAACAGTCATTCATTACAATTTATATCCCACCAAATTAGGTATTCCAGTGAAAGCCTGTGATAAAGTCTACACAGAGAATCTTAAAAACTCACTGTATTATTAATATTTAAGCAGGAAGCACAATAACTATACACTGTAAGACAGAAAAGTGCTAACAGAACAAGCTGCTTTGTGTATCTTCACTTTTTTGTTCATTCAGTAAGCCCATGTATCTACATCGCTATACTTCAGAAAAGGAAAAAGACAACTTCAATTTCATAAGCAATTGGGAAAGGCTCAGTTTTCCAACAGGAAACAATTCAGATATTTAGAAAGGCAATGTTCTGGCCACTGCAATCCAGCAATACCTGCATTTTCAGATATGGTGTTCAATTAAATTGCATACTCAGAAGACATTTTCACATGTTAACAAAGTATAAAAACTAAATATTTGAGCGACAAAAAAGCTGCGTATGTCTGGCTACAAATTGCTGGAATAAAGTACGCTCATTTTCCAATTACTTCCACTAGGCATGTGGCCAGTGGAGGCAGATTCCACACTGCAATGTGGAAGACACAAGCACAGCTCAGGCCCTGTGAGAATACAGGGCTTTAAATGTGGAAGATGAAAATCCATATGAATATGTTAAAGTCAGAAATCTTTATGGTTTTATAACACCAACCAAGAAAACTTGCCAAGAGCAACACATCTGTGTATTTACCTTGCTGTCTGACTCAGATTCTGAAGTTGTGCTTGCTGAAGATTTCCGTGAGGAGCGATACTTCTTCTTCCTTCTTTTCTTCCCTTGCTTTTTATCCTATCCATAAATATTGTAGCAAAAGAAAGAAAAACACAACTTGAATTTATTCTCACTAGAATTGAAGATTTACATTAAATGTAAAGAAAAGGAAACATCAAATTCCTACATGTTACAATGTTCTCCTGAGGAATAAAGTACACTACAATTGATTCTTTTAGTGGAGGACCTTGATAACTCTTTTGCATTGAAAAAATGCAAACTGGTGAAAAATCCAGGTTCTCTAGATTCTGTTTATTATTTAGATGTATGCTGTAGAATCTGATCACCTGTAACAAAGATTTTTGCTAGAAAGTAAAAATGGTATTTTTGCATTCTTATGATTAAATAGGGGATTCTGTTAGGAAAGCAGTTCAGTGTTAAAATAGATCCAGTTTACAAGACAGGATGCCAAAATCTGTAGTGTTCACACAAAAACTACTGACTGGATACCTATATCTAAAATTCATGACTTTATTATATATACCAAATTCATAAAACTAAATGCATTTATCCAAACTAGCCCCTCAAAATATTGTATAACATATTATCAAAATCTGTATTAAATAAATTTCATTAACAAAACATGATAGGTTCAAGTAGGTTTGATAGGTTCAAGTAGGTTAGCTCTTACCTCATCTTCTGAATCAGATGAACTGCTGGAAGAATCAGAGCTTGATGAAGAAGAGGAAGATGAAGACAACTTGACCAAATACAACAAAAAGTGAAGCTTGTGAGATGCAGCATTTTGTCTGGCAAACACTCAAAAGCCTATTCAAACACTCCCTTTAAAATGTCTTCATTTTCAAAGTATAACCAATACAATTTTACTTCTGAGAAGCTGGTCTTACAGAGATTTTTCTTAAATAAACTTCTAAACCACTTCTAACATTTTTATTTTAATAATATCTATTTAATGCTCTTTTCCGCCCTTTAATTTCCCCTGTATCAAATATATGCAAATCCATTCTAAATAAAAGTTAATTTATCATCTGAAATCAAAATTACAGATACACTTTCTCTTTCCAGGAGAACTTAAATGACAAACAGGAACAACCCCAAAGCAAAAAGCTCAGAAAACTGAAAATTTTGCTCACCCTATTAGATTTCTTCTTTTCCTTTTTCTTTTTCTTAAAAATAGAACAAAATAAATGTTACTTTAGCATCATTTTCTTTTGGCATACATTTAGGTTCATGAACTTTGATGCTGGCTTTTAAAATGTATTCACAAAATTCTGTGTTGGCAGCATTGATGATAAATCCCAATTCCAAACACAGAATGTATACAACTGAAAACAACTTACCTCTTTTTTTTTGGAGGAGCTCTCATTTCCACCCATTAATTTCTCCCTGTGTTTTTCCAGTTCTTTCCTCCAATTCTGAAAACAAAACCAAACAGAAACAATAACAGGAGGGTCATTCCTGAGCAGTATTTTTTAAGCTGTCCTCTGCCTGACATTATAATTTTAACAAAACCCACAGAACATAAACAATAGATATAACGTTAACTAAAGCTGTAATGCACCTAATTTTACAGAAGATTATTATTTAGCAAAATACAGTGTTAATGTTAACACATTTAATGTTCAAGTCATTTGGCTTTAGGAGACTGCCATTTATCTTGAAGGTCATCAATTATGGTATTTTTGCTTTTCTATCACAGTCTTCTTGCTAGAGTACTTTAGAAAACCAGGGTACCCTACCAGAAAAACTGTGATTTTGTCTTAGTTCTAAAAATCACCTGAAATAAAACTTCAAGACAACTTCTCCTGGCCCTTCTTCAACATACGAGTGTCTCTGGTCTGTATTCTGGACCTTGCTGGTGTCAGCAATAATTTTATCAAATTACTATACACATCTTCATAGAAATACTCTTATTTTGTTAGGCCAAGCACACCATATGAATTAATAAAAATCTTCTCTCATTCCTGTTTTTCAATTCCCCACCTGGTCTCTAGGTCTACCTAAAATATCCCCTTAAAGAGCTCTGAAATATCCAACCTGCCCCCATGAAACTCAAAGGCTGCTAGGTTCAATCTGCACTGTCAGACACATCATGTGTTCCCTTCTTTATTATTCTGATCCTCACAATAAAGCTGTATTGGTACTGTATTGGCAAAATAACAGTGATCCACACGTTGTGCTGAGGGGACAGAAATATCAGGAGTCAAGTAACCTGTGCAATGCAGGATGACACACAGATCCCTACATCAGCACACTGTGAATTAGCTGAACAGAGCTGCTGAGGAACATGGCAGATTAGCCAGGAAGCAGTGCTGTGTGTAATGTGCTTCTATGGACCAAGGCAGCATCTGTGGGTTGTGTACTTTGATATATCAGGTACCCTGATATAGAGCTCTCTGAGGGGTCTCTCACAACAGCCTGTGCTTCATTATTTTAAAGACTGTGCTAGTGTTATGGTTTAAACAGAAATGTCTGACAACTGTAAGTAAAATAGGGGAGACAGCACCTCATTCAGAAACTTGATCTTTTCAGGCATTCAGAGATTTGTTCTTAGGTGCTTCAGGAATACCTCATGGCCATGTCACGACTCCCTGCATCCCTTTCTACCCTGCTACCATACTGAAAGGTTGGTAGATTCTATGCATGCCAATTTCACTTATTTCACATTAAACAAAAATAAAATCAGGAAAGGAATATTACAGAATACTAAACCAAACTCACCAAGCTAAAACTCAGAGTGCAAAACAACTGATCCTCTCAGAACAGACCCCATGGCCCTCCACATCGTGGTACAACTTCTTAGGCAAAAAGGTACAGCGAGAGTACTATGGGTACTCTGCCCTTCCAGTAACAGAGGAGAAGCATAATCTACTTCAACCAGAAATTTATGATTAAGATTACTGAAGCTTATCTCAAGATACCAGGACCCAAGAAGGAACAGAAACAAAATAAATTCATTGTATATTAATTTCTCCCTTGTATACAATAGGAGTTACATGTGAAACTTTCTAATACTGTGCTGATCTTCAACAGGTAAAGAACACAAACATCAGAACAGCTGCATGTATATCAGGAAAACAGCACATGTTGTAATCAGCTTAGGATGAGAGAAAAACATGTGCTTCATAGTCCTATCTGACTGAAATACATTCTTTGTGCCTTCTCCCATAATAATATTACATGTATATTCCTTGCCAAAGACATCTGCTTCCAGTAATGTGGTTTTTTTCACTATACTTGGATTCTGTTACCTTAAACAAGTGAATTTTAGCACAACAGACTTTGGCTTATCATACCTGAAAATGCACTGTTTTATTTATTGATATAAGCACATGCATTTGTATAAATATGTTTACATTTCTAACAAGGTCAGGTTTTATTCACCAGCAATCTAAAAAATGTTTTATATAGTTTTTTCTCTGAACTGAAAGAAGCTCTTCACTGGTTAAGTCGTAAACTCAACTTCCAACATAAATGAAACAAAATAGTTATGCATTAAAAGCTCAAATGAAGTGAAATGTTATGGCTACTTGATATTGTAAATGATAACAGAAGTAGCATGTTAGATAAAAAGAATCATGTATTAACAGCTAGTGACATTACCAACCTCATTCATCTTTTCTTCAAACTCAGCCAAAGCCCTGGATCCTTTCTTTTTCTTTTCTAGTTGCTCTTTCACTTCTTCCCTGAATGAAAAAGATGGTAGATCACAATTTTTAAATGAAAAATACTTTCTTCAATGTCTAATTTTTCTGTAGATTTTTGAAGTTTAGCCTTGGTTGAACTTCCAAGAGAGGAATGAAAGCATCTTAGATGTTACACATATGGTAACCTAACCCTAATAACTTAAGTACAGTTGTTAAATCCTTCCCAAAGATCTACAGCTAACTTTGCAATTAGGTAAATTGTTCTCTAATGTCTCATGAGGACAGGCAAAGGGATTGAACATAAACTTGTTGATAATATATCAAAGTGATGGTTTTGTTGGATAGGGTAAACTGAATTCTAAGAATATACCAGCAAAATGGTTCTTTTAGAGATTAATTTGTTTACAAATTAAATATATCTACAAGGTTCAGGTATTATAATTTGAGCAAGAGGTAAAATGACATTTTCCTCTTGTGAGAAACTGCTGCAAAACAATATAGACAAATGAGAAATACACATTTCAAAATTATATTCTATTATTTTTAAAAGAGGAGACTGAATACATGTTTAGAAAATAATACCTTGGTCGGCACAAGAAATCTTTGGATATCCAGAATACTGGATATTCTGGGGAAGAGGTAGGTACCAGTGACATTTTAATAAGAGGGAACAAATATTTTACTTAAGAAGTCAAAAAGGATCAACATGCCACTCACCATGTTGGTCTTGGCCTGTTCAAGTAGTCTTGTATTGTTGGTCCTGAATTTGGGGCAGGACCTCGTGCCCTGGCCATAGCTATGGGATTCATATAAGCCTTGAATATGAAACAACAAAAAGAAATATCAAATTCATCAGTTACACTATGATACCAAAATATCTTGTTTGTTCTTCACATAAACTTTTTATCACTCCCTGAAAAATAATTCTGACTTGTTTCTAAGAATATAAAATATTTAGCTAAACCAAGTTTATTCAATCTGGCAGAAAAACTCAAGTAAGTGCTTTCAGCTGGAGTCATACTGTGGCAGAAAGAACTGATCCACAAAAAGACCGTGTTCCTTACAATTCCTTTCCTTAAGCAATGATTTTAGCGTCATGATTTCTGAAATATTCTTCCTTGGGTTATAGAAAATGTAATTAAATTTCAGCTCTACCTCTCTGGGACAACTGATCCTATGCCTTTAAAGTTCTGTTCAAAATTGCTGACAGGAGTCACTAAATTTTGCACAAAATTTCTTGCACCAAAATGAGAAAGCAGTGGTACTTTGCTACAATTATACATGTATCAATATTCTGTGACTTAGGGCTGTTTAAAGGAGGAAAAAACTCACAAAACCCAAACACGCATAATCCCAATGTTATGAGGTATTCCATCTTTCAAACCTATGCATCCTCTTTGTGTTACAAAAGACTGAATTAAAATTTAAAATTCATAATCCGCCTCACCAGTCAATGGAAAAACTTCCATTTTTTTTAATGTCAGCAGTATTTTTTTCATGTGAAAAGGAGGTACATGTACCCCATTATCTCATGCATTTGTATCACTATATCATCCCAACACTTTACTTCTGCAAAACATAACACACACTGTTCTTACTGTTCAGTTTGGAGACGAGGAAAAAGATCAAATAGCCAAAAAAATGAGTTGATTTGGATGCCCAATCTGAGACAATTTTTTAAAGAGTACATTTTGTAGATCTAAAGCAAGGATTTGGCCATCTGTGTAGCTCTCACATGTCCAACACTGCTTTTTATCAGGCATTCAGAAACCACCATGCACAGTAAGTGAGCATTTGTGAAAGCTGTCAGAAGCAGCAGCTGCTGCCTCCCCTCCTGTTGCTCCCACTGCAGAAGCAGTGACCACAGCAATGCTGAGTTTCTGGACTGGACTGCAAGGAAGCTGGTGGCCTTCAGCTCTTGGGGATACATTTGGTACTGGAAGAGGCACTCCAGGCTCTGCCTGGGATGAGGCATCTGGCTGAAAGGAAGCACTGCCCACACAGGTTTAGCTCAGATTCACCAGCTGGACCACTCTGAAGCAATCCAAGGACTCCTTCAAGTCGAGCATTTTGTGACTCAAGTTGACTTTGCAACACTAAGGGGACATTTACTGCCATTTCTTGGGGCTTGGCTTTGTTGTTTTTATTCACACAAAAAGGCTAACTAACATGGGCAAATAAACACGGAGGTGTGCCAATTGAAACAAGTAGCAGATGGATGTATGCACTCAAGTGGTTACAACACTTAGGCATTCACATGACAAATCTAAAAATGAATAATCGAGTTCAGCTTTGAGTGGAAAAGGAGCTCCTTTAGGAATGCAGGACAGCACTATTTGAACACTGTTTTCACTAAAGAAAGGTAATTTCAAGGCATTAGATCCACTAGAAACTTGGTTTACTCCAGTGAGAACATTAACTTTTGGTTACCATTAAAAAAAAAAGTCTCTTGCTGCTCTTAAATAAAAATCAGTAAAGCTACTTTCCTACCTGAGCTAACAAGTCATGAACACCTCACCACTTTCCAACAAAACTCTCTACCTGCAGAAGAGGCGACAGCTATCAAATCCTCATTTTCTACTTGCTCAAACTGCCCCTGGATAACTGGCTAGAAAGCATCCTCCCTTCATTGGCTTTCTTGAACTGTAGCACAGCAAGTACTTAATGACCATGTTCTGCTCTATATTCCAGGATTAGGACATTTATGTCTTAAGAAACGTTCTTATCATTTCAACCAGGTTTGTTCATGAATAATTACTTCACCAATAAACATTTCTGTAAAGTATTTACACTACTTTGCCAAAATGCATGTCACTAGCCAGAAGGAGCATGGAAATGCAGCCTCAATAAAGAAAGTGATTGTCTGCACATTCATTTTCTTCTTTTGGTAGTTTGCTCAAGCAGGTATTAAGGTATTTGCTGCATAGCTTCTTTGCTCATGAGAAGTGTAAGACACCTTCTGTCAGGCAGGGTTCTCTGGGCCAGCAGTACTATTGCTGCCTTGCAAGTACCCTGTAGATGTGCAAAAAGCATGTTTATTTTTCATCTCCAGAAAGTCAAAAATGATGGTGTTTAAGAAGGGACACAGCAGAGAATAACAGTAGAAATATCTATGATCATATATGAGGAGCAAAGGGTCCTGTATAACTTGTTTGTAGTACGTATTATGCCATGATGGCATAATAAACTTTATACAGGAACATAAAGATTTGCTGGCATTGGTATATTCCACTGTCCCATTAAAAGAAAATAAAGACTAAATAAATAAACACCTGAAAACCTTACAGGACATTTCAACCATAGACCCAGTCTTGAAGTGTAATACACTGTCTTAGTAGACCAAATTTTTTGGATAGGTCAACAAAGCGATGAAAGGGACTTTGCCTCTATCTATACAATATCTGAGTCCTTCATGTCTATTACTATACTATTCCACCAAGGTTTGCAAAGATGTGAATAGATCTGAGTACCAATTCATAGCATATACAAGAAAGAAAGAGAGAAACAGAAAAAAATTAAAGTATTATGATTTGTGTTCAGTCATAAAATTCAGCAGCAAACTTACAATGTTTAAGTGGTTACAAATAGAAGGCGAAAGGCTAACTGGCACAAAAACATTGAAAGAAAAATAGGAAGAAGGATGACTGTGTTTCAGCTATGTATGAACTCAGGCTCTGCAGTCAGGTGTGTAGAAGCGCATTTTTTGCCTGCTGAGCGCTGGTTCCCGAGGCAGCAGAGTGCTGCGTAAAGCTCAATTTCAGATCTCTCAGGTATAGCTGAACGCCAAGTTTAAGGAAATGCGGCTTAGCTAGGATCACAGCTACTTCAGCGAGTGCGGCAACTCCCATTTGGAACATTTTATTTTTGTAGGGACCAGGCCAGCATCTTAATCACCTTCCCTCGACAGATCACAAAGCAGGCGTCAGTCACGATGCTGCAGGATTTGACAAGGCAATCAGAGGTTCAGCCAGGGAGCCTCGAGCACGTGCCGAGGGAGGGACAACCCACCCACACGGGGCTCCGGCCGATGCCGGGGCGCCCCGGGCCGGGCGGGGCGAGGCGCAGGGCACGGCCCGCCTTTGTCGCCCGCCGGCGGGGCCCCGAGCGGGCCGGACCCCAATCCCGGCGCCGGGTACTCAGACGGCCCTCGGCAGCCTCCGGCCCGCCCCGCTGGCACCGGGCCGCTCTCGTCCCCCGCGGCGGCTCCTTCTGCCCCTCCCGACGGTGGGAGCGCGGCGGCGGCCGGACGGGCCCGCCCGGGCCGAGGCGGCGCTCGGCTCCCCACGGCCTCCGCGCCGGGGCCCGCCCGGAGGTGCCGCGGCGGAGCCCAGCCGGGCTGCCGCGTTACTCACCACACGGTTATCCCGCTTCCCCATGGTGCCGCCGTGACCCGCGCCGCCGCCCGCCGCCGCCTCGGCCCAGCCCAGGGCCGTTCCCCGCGCCCGGGAAGCCGCAGCCCCTCTCGGCCCCTCTCGGCCGCGGAGCTGCGGGAGCGGCGGGAGCGGCGATGGCGGCGGCCGCACAGCGCCGCCTGCCGGGGCCGCGCGCCCCGCGCCGGGCCGGCCCCGCCGGCAGCGCCCGCCCCGCTCCGCCCAGAGCTGCCCCGGCGGGAAAGGGCGGGCGGGGACTTTCACTGCAGGGCTGCGGGCGGGGCGGTGCCAGCGGCGGGGAGACACAGAATCACACTGTGGGACAGGTTGGAACAGGCACGGTGGGTCGTCTGCTCCAACGTCCCTCACTAAGCAGGGTCGTCTTAGAGCACATGGCAGAGGATTGTGTCCAGACGATTCTTGAATATTTCCAGTGAGGGAGACTCCACACCCTCTCTGGCCAGGCTGTTCCAGTGCTCGGTCACCTGCACAAGAAAGAAGTTCTTGCCCATATTCAGGAAAAACTTCCTGTGCATCAGTTTCTGTCCGTTGTCTCTTGTCCTGTTGCTTGGAACCACTGAGAAGAGCCTGGATTCATCCTCTGGGCACCGCCGTTTCAGATAGTTATACGCACTAATGAGGTCCCCTCTCAGTCTCTTCTTGAGGCTGAACAGGGCCAGCTGTCTCAGCCTTTTCTAAGAGAGATGCTCTTTGTAGCCCTTCGTTGGACCCGCTCCAGGAGCTCCATGTCTCCCCTCTCCTGAGGAGCTGCCGGCGGGGCGAGGGCTGGGACAGCCTTAGAAGGGGCAGCAGGGGCTGGCTCCGAGGGGGAGCCCTGAAATGGAACCTTTCACTTGTATCGGGGGCTCTCGTCTGGAATCTGCCTCCCAGGAGAGGGCAGGATTTCGTAGTGAGGGGTTTGTCTCCTCTTGATCCATTTGGGATCAGTTACAGAGGGAACCGCAGTGTGCTCTTTTCCTTTTGCCTTCGGTAGATGCATAGGCTAAGGTATTATGAAATAGCAGTCCTGACATAGAATCGGACCCTATTTCGGCGGAAGGAGGGAGATAAGATAAAGAGAGGGGGAAAAAAAAAGGTGTATACTCATCCCTCTTTAGCCATCTGCACTGCAAAATAAAGCATTCTAATATCGTCAGGGTTAATATTATTTTAGGTCAATGGAAGTGCTAAGAGAAGCCCGGGAGTTATTGGGATCTATTAACTCAGAATTTCAAATGTCCTTTTCTCAAAGCATTACCATTAAAAATTACTGCATATTAGTCACAGCTTTGTAAAAATGGAGAAAAGTAATCACATGTTAATATGTTAATCATAGAAACCACAAATGAGTTTTGTTACTGAAATAGCTTTGCTGTCTTCATGCTTGGGAAGAGCTGGAAAAACTGGTGAGCCCACAGGAATTTGTGATACCAAATTGCTTAGTAAAACCAAGAGCAGCCTGTGAGGAACTAGAAGAAAACCAAGAAAGTGACTATACTAAATTTGCAAGTAAAATTTGTTCAGTTGCAAATTAAATTTAGTGTTCAAAATTGCAAGATAGTGCATAAGGGAAAATGTATTCCTCAGAAATCAGCTGGTATGTTCTAAAACAAGGATGGCTACTTTGGAAACACACCAGGCAGAAGTTCTCCCTGAGCTGCCTTGCAGTGCTGGAGAATTACATTGAAAGCTAAATAAATAAGTTGCATTAAAATACATACAAAATGAGACTAGGAGTATTACTGTCTATTATAATATCCATTTTGTCAAGCATGGAGAAGTCCTTGCCCCAAATGCACGTTAATATTTGGACCATTCTGGAGTTACCCCCAGGTTCAGGTGGCTGCCCCATGGCACTGTACATGTGTAGGCTGTCCCCAGTGCTGTGGCAGCCCTGGGAGGCTCAGGGTGGCCCCAGGTTTGGAGCAGAGCTGTCTGTGTGTCCCCATGCTGGCACAGCGGTGGGGCTGCAGGGCTCCGGGGGCTTTGGCTCAGCTGAGACAGCGGAGGTGATGCCTGGGCTCCATCAAGTCTGCCATGACAGAATGACTCTTCAGAAATGTTTTGACCAAAGTTGAAGTAAGGGAGTTTATTCATGCCACACTTTGTGCTGTGAGGCTTTGAGCCTGGCACCAGGAAACAGAGACTTGCCATGGCAGGAAAAGCAGGGGTGCAGGGTCCCTCCCTATGCAGGCACTAGGGAGGAGGGAGTCCTTTGCTATGCACTCCACAGTATTTTAATTAGACCCCAATTAGCTTTTCCTCCCTGGGCTGAGAAGGCTTGGAAGTCCAGCCAGACAAACCAGACTTCTAAAAATGGATGAAAACAGGGAAAGGACTTCTGTGTGCTAGGAGACTAAAAGATGATCTTGTTTATCAAAGGGATGGAAGGTGGAGGAACAACACAACTGATGAGTTCAAAATGAGAACTCATACAAATAATGTAAAAATCTTACTTTCTGTTTTTCAGTAAATGGTAGGCAAATGATAGACAAAGACAATGCATTTAAAATTATTTTTAAATTAACATTTGTTTCTGTGGTGCTATCAAATGTGACACCTAGTGTCATTAGATAATTTTGAGGCATAGAGTAAAATAACTTTTATGTGAATAATGGGAACATTTGTGCTTTTTCCTACCTTAGTATACATTTGTTCCTTAGTATTTTGGTTACTGGATTTTTTTTTTTTTACTATGATTTTCTTTTCCATTATTGGGTGTTATGAACTCACCTTCTCACAGATGAGGGCTAGGAAGAAAATTCCCATGTGAAGAATTTGTTCCTTAACTGTCAAGAGACTTGGATTTTCTTCTGTGGTGTCTTGTTCTGAGCACTATCAGAGATGAAGCATCAGACAGTATCCAGATCCCTATAGTAGGTTTTATGTAATGTCACATATTTCCATTATTTTTCCTTTTTTTTTTTTTTTTCATAATTAGCTATAGCTAACATGGGTGTTTGTGACTCTGGCCTCACTGCAGTTCACTTCGTGTCTGACCCTGGCTGGACTGCTGCTCATAATCTTATAATGTGCTTAAAGACTAATTTGGAATGTCACATAATGTAAAGGTAGCTTTTTATTTGTCTGCGTTGGACCTGCAGTTTATGCTTGTAAAAGACTTTCATGGTTCCTTCAGGTTTCTAAGGGCAGCACAAAGTTTTGATTCTAAGTTAAAAATCCTTCGAGGCTTTAGGGTTTGATTAGCTTGCAGTCATTTCTGTCCCCGTGTCAGCTTTCATAAAGAAGCTGACATCTCATTGAATGCTTGAGCTGATAGTTTTTAGATTCCTGGATCTGGTGGCTTGTTGGAGGCTGCATTAGTAGAAAGTACTTGTATCCTCTCTAAAGAGAACTTAATGAACTTTACAATCAGCTGAAGCTGTATTTGAGGTGCTTTGATGAGGATTTTTTTTGGTTGAAGTAAAACAAGAGAAAATGCAGCTTGTTTTGGAGCCTGATATGTCATTTTGTGTTTGACTCAAAACATACACTTTTATAGTTTCTATATACCCAGAAGTGTTACTAGTCATATTTATAGCTATGTTGATTTGGCACAGCGGTGTTTTTGGTAGTGGGGGAGGGCCACTGAAGTGGCTTCTGTGAGAAGCTGCTAGAAGACTTCCTCTGCGTCTGAGAGAGCCAGTCTCTGATGGCTCTGAAGATGGACATACTGCTGGCCCAGCCAGAGAGGTTGGTAACATCTCTGTGATGGCATACTTAAGAAGAAAATCAAAACAGGGCTGCATAGTTTTTTCCCAGGAGTGGTGAAGTCTGGGGCCATCTCTGGGTGGCCCATGGCGAGCCTTGCCTGCCTGGTCACCCTAGCCAGCTGTGCTGCAGACAGAAGGGCAGGGGTGGTGGTGGCTTCTCCCTTCCAGCGCCTCGCACAAAGGAAAATGTTAAATGGCGCCAGCGCTGCGGCAGCCACCGCTGCCTGCTCGGTGGTGGCAGGGCGGCCTGGCCCATGGGGAAAACACAGCGAGCGGCTCTCCGGCACGGAACCGAGGTGAGATTGACCTCTTGGTGCTGAGGGAGTCTGCAGGAATCTTTGCATTGGTGGAACTTGTTGGCAATGATACCTATGGGCAGCAGTTTTTCGTTTAGTCAGAGAAGACAAGGAAGGAAAACATGAGAGAGGAAACAACATGGCAGCACCAAGGTCAGTGGGAAGAGAAGGGGAGGAAGTGCTCCAAGTGCTGGAGTCAAGACTCCTCTGCAGGCTGTGGTGAGGACCATGGTGAATCAGGCTGTCCCCCTCCATCCCATGAGGTCCATGGGATGCAGAAATCCACTCAGCCCGTGAGAGAATCATTCACACCAGAGCAGGTGGATACCAGTGATCCAGTGGGACACTTGAATGGAGAAAGAGGGCCTGTGCTTCCAGAGATAGAGGGCCCTTGCTTCCAAACTAGAATAGCCTATCCTTTGAGGACTGCATCCTGTGGATGCATGACCCATGCCACAACAGTTTTAAAAAGACTCTTTGTCTGTGTGAGGGACTCACATTGCAACAGTTTTGTCAGGACTGCTGCTCGTGACATTGGAGCCATGCTGGAGAAGTTCATGGAGAACTGTCTCCCACAGTGATGTCTTAAGTTTCAGCTTTCTTATTTTCCAGATTCTGTCTTGCATTAGTATATAACTGAAATTCATAGAATGTGTTAGCAAGTTCTCTTCACAGTTCAGACAAAACAATCCTTTTCCAGCCTGAGAACCAAGGACGCTGTTGCAGCTCCAGGCACAGAAACTATAAACAACAGCAAACTGAGGAGAGCAATCCAGGAGGATGGGACTTCAGAACTCGAAGCTGTAACTGGACAATCAACCCAATATGTAACTGGACCAAAACTTATAAAAGTGTGAAAACGTGTGATCCATCATCCATCCTGGGTGTAGCCTCACCTGGGCTTTTGTTGTGCCCAAGGTGTATCCTTTGAAGGCCTTTTTAATAAATACTTACTTTAACACTGTCTAGCCTCTGTTCTAGGTAGCCTCTCAAGGCATCAGCAGGAGGGACCCTATGGCATAACAGAGGAAAGACTTCTTTCCCTGAGCGAACAGAAAAAGATCTCTGGTGAC